AAACCTGAGGAGGTTTAAAGGGAGAAACACCATATTGACTAAAATTCCAGTTGCGGATTCTCTACTTCATGTCATTTTCAAAAGCCCTGACAACCTTTTCTTGAAGTCCCAGATGTAGGTCCCTGGTAATAATAATAACACCATTTATAAGATTGCATCATGCCAGGCATTTTCTGTACATCTTTTTTTTCCCCCCCAATCTCTCCAATTATTTGAATGTTGGTGCTCTTTTTAAACTGAAATCTGGAAAAGTTGTGGTGCAGTGACATTAGGACTCAAACCCAGGTCTTTCAAATTCTGAAATCAACGTCCTTCGTCTTCCACAGCCCTACCCTATCTGACTAACATCGTGTAGACCAGTGAACAAAGAGACTGGAGGCTTTCTTTCACCTTCAGCTCAAACCCTAGCCATAGCTGAGCTGCCCCTGGGAAAACAGTAGCTTTGGAAAGATGCAGGCTGTTGAAAGGATACGCTCTTTCTTTGAGGAATGGAAATAAACTATTTAATGGTGATTTGCATAAGGTAGAAAGAAATCATGTAACTGTGTGTTCAAGATTCCCCTCTGCCCTACGTTCTACACCTTATTGCACCTTTAAACATTGCTTTTATTTAGATGAATTCATAGTGTTCTCGCCCTAGCCAGTTTTGCTCAGGGGATAGAGCGTCGGACTGCGGACTGAAGGGTCCCAGGTTCGATTCCAGTCAAGGGCACATGCCTGGGTTGCAGGCTCAATCCCCAGTAGGGGGCGTGCAGGAGTTAGCCAATCAGTGATTCTCTCAACATTGATGTTTCTATTTCTCCCTCTCCCTTCCTCTCTGAAATAAAAAAATATTTTTAAAAAAGAAGAGAAAAAAGAAACTGCATTCTTAAAAAAAAAAGAATATTCTCCAATGTTATCCTCCCTCCCCATTCCCTTCAATTTCCCATTGCTGTGCGAGACTGTGATTTCCATGGTCATAGGACCACCAGTTGAGCTTGACTCTTGCTGGTTTATCTGGTCAGAGGACAGTTGGGGGCTGTGCTTCCAGGTGAGCTGAGCTCTGAGTGGGGCTTTCCAGGGAGTTGCCTTAAAACAGTGATGTGAGCGGTGCTACATGGCTGTAAGGAAAGCACACGCTTGCCCCTGTTATTTCTTGAAAGAGTCCTAGCCCTCTCATCCCCTCTGCTACCCCAAGTTCTCAAATTTGTGGTAGGAGTCACCCATTCCCAGCCTAACCATCTCCTTTCCTCCCTGTACTTAGCTTGCTTCAGGCCATAGAAGGGACTTTGTTTCTCCCTGGATTTTGTTATTCTTAATAACAAATTGTTTCTCCTCTCATTCTCTTTTCTTCCCTCTTTCTCCCCCGCCCTTTCCCCCCAGAGAGTTTTCAACGTCCTTTATCCCATGCCTGCTGACCAGCGGAGACATGTCAGCATCAACTCTGCCCGCTGGCTGCCTGAGCCTGGGCTCGGCCTGGCCTATGGCACCAACAAGGGAGACCTGGTGATCTGCCGACCAGAGTGAGTGGTTCAGGGGCTGGTGGGGTGGACGTGGAGGGGTCATCTGGGCTGGGGGCTGGAATAATCAGCATTCACCTATGGATGTAGCTGGTGAGGGGGGTCTTTTAGAGGAGAAATCTAAATTCTGCTAGAGCCGGCCTCGTTCTCATTGTCACTCCTTAAAAGGTCCTTTTCACTCAACAGATGGTAGGGTTAGCTCTCCATTTCAGAAATCTTCAAAAGACTGGTTTAGTTATTTTGTCTCTTAAATCTAAAGCAGTATGTTTTGTTTGTTTTCCCTTGTTCTCCAGTTCTCTAGTGATAATAAAAGTTCTCTGCGGTCAAAAGCATAGATATCAAATATTCTTTTCTAAAACCTTTTTGAAATAGTCAATAGGTAATCTTAGGTATGTGTAAAATGCCTTAGAAATGAACTTAAGAAATAAAGTTGGGAATAAGATGTTGTTAAAGCCCTAATTTTTAATATATTTTTATTGATTTTAGAGAGGAAGAGAGAAAGAGAAACATCAGTGATAAAAGAGAATCACTGATTGGCTACCTCCCGCACCCCCACACTGGAGATTGAACCCGAGACCCTTCAGTCCACAGACTGGCGCTCTTTCCACTGAGCCAAACTGGCTAGGGCTAAAGCCCTAATTTGTCAAGCCACTGATCTCTAACCACCTGGCTCTGTGTCCTGCCTGTTTTCCTTTCTGCTGGAGGCTCTGGCTCATAATAGAAAAGGCAGATTGAAAAGCGCCATTTAAAAATTGAAATGGCCCTGACCTGTGTTCTCAGTGGTTGGAGCATCATCCCACACACTGTCTCAGATTCCTGATCAAGAGCATGTACCTGGGTTGCAGGTTCCATCCCTGGTACGGGTCGGGGCACATGTGGGAGGCAACCAATCACTATGTCTCTCTCACATTGATGTTTCTCTCTCTGCCCTATCCCCTCCTCCCTCCCTCCCTTCCATCCTCTCTAAAAATCAATGGAAAAAATATCCTTGGATGAGGATTAACAACAAAAATCGAAATGATTATTATCTGGTCTTGGAATGGGGGGTAGGAGGGGACACCAACCAAAGCATTTCTGTGTTCAGTCCTGATGACACTCCTTCCCCTTCCTTGGGCTTTTTGGAGGATAGAGGTCTATTTAGGCAGGACCCTGGGAGTCAGCCAGGTCTGTCATCAATTTTCATACCCATCCAGGTGTGGAGTGTGAAGCTCTGTGCTTCATTGGAGATCAAGCTGACTGCAGTGTGGGCCGCTGCAGGTTCCAGCTGAGTAAATACCACTCCTGCTCCAGGCCGTCCTAAGGCTGCCTTTCACTAAGTATAGTCTCCATAGGTGTACTACAGATCGCAGAGCACATGGGACTGTCTGCTAGGGTCTCTGGGAGTGTCCATGATGTCTTTTGCGAGGGCCCTTGATGATTTTTCCAGGGTCTGTATTCGGGTCAGTTCTTATAGCCTGGTGATTGAACCCTTAATTGAGCTAGATTGTTGGTCCAGGAGAAAGAAAACTTGGTTCTAAGGGCAGCTCATTCCATTTGGAATTTTCAGGGCTCCTCTGAAGGAGAGCTGCTGCCCAGCCAGCATGGCTCAGTGGTTGAGCATTGACCTATGAAACAGGAGGTCACGGTTCGATTCCTGGTCAGGGCACATGCCTGGGTTTCAGACCTCCTCCCTAGTAGAGGGCATGCAGGAATCAGCCAGTTGAGGATTCTCCTTCTCCCTTCCTCTCTAAAATCAATAAAAATATACTTAAAGAAAAAAGAAAGAGAGAGGCTGCTGTCTGACCCTGACCTGGTCAAGCTGCTCTTGGAGCTGGCCGTGCTCCCCTCGGGCTCTGTGTCCAGAGAGCCCCTTCCACGAGCTCCTGTGCCTTTCCGGAGCCCAGCCTGCCTGTCAGGACTGTGCCACCGTCAGCCTAGGCGCTGGGTCTGTTTCTTTCTGCCCTCACCTTGGCTGCCCATAGTCCCAGGATCTGTCTGCCCTGAAATATTTATTTTTCCCAAAGTACATGAGTCTGATTATCTTCTATCTTCCTCTTTTCTTCGGAATTCATAGGCATGTTTTTCAAAACGGCCCAGAATTCTGGACTTAATTTTACTCTTACGAACACGGTAGTTACAGGCCTTTCTTTCCCTCTTTCTCCAAGACATCCTTCCTCAGCGTTGTTGTCTTCTCTCTGGATTCACCACTAACCTTCCTCCCAGCCAGGCTCCCAGCCCCCACCCCTTGTAGACGTGATCTGCTCTTACAGAAGAATCTCTACCTCCAGTTAGCCGTGGCCCCCGAAGACTCTGATGTCTGAAACCCCAGCCCACGTACTTGGTGTGAGTCATAGACACCTCAGGGAAGCATGAAGCTGGCTTTGGCCTATCTTTCCTCACCATATGTCGTCTTTGGCAGCCAGAGCCTCAGCAGGCCAAAGCCATCTTGGACTGCTTGGGGAGCTCTCTTACCACCAGGAAGTGAAGCCTCTTTTATGAGCAGGGTGGCACCAGCATTTGACACAGGAAACAGCATCCCATCACAAATGAAGTCATGTTGGGCTGAGAGAGCTACCTTAGCCGGCCTATTTCAGTGTTGCTTTTTTCCTGATTTCTTGGGTCGTGTTGGCATATGCCCCAAACCTTAGGGCTGGACATTAGGGTACATGTATATTAATACGGACGGACTTTGTCCTAAGTCACTCAAAGCTTCTCCAGTTCTAAGTCTGTGTGGTTGGTTTGCTTCAGGCAGGGAAGACTGAACAGTATTCAGGTAAGGTTTACCCAAGGCCTTCCAAAAGATCAGTGAAGGAATTGGGCTTCCTAACTTTCCAGTCCAGAGCTCTTATCCTATAGCTGGTTTTTAACCTTTTTACAATAAAAAATTCCTTTAAAATTCTGATAAACCCTGGCTGGTATGTTTAAATCGTTAGAGTGTTGGCCTATCCATCGAAGGGTTGCAGGTTCGATCCCCATATCCAGTTGGGGTGTGTGCAGGAGGCAATCAGTTGATGTGTCTCTCTTGCATCATTGTTTTTCTCTCTCTCTCTCCCTTTCTCTCCCCACCCCCACCCCACTCTCTCCGAAAATCAGTGGAAAAAATATCCTCAGATAAGGATTAACAAAAAAAAATTTTTTTACTGAATAAATAAAATAAAATTCTGATTAAAAGCCATGCACTCTCTTCCACAGAAAAACATACTAAAAGAACACTCATGTAACTTTGTAACTCTCTTAAGACCTCAGGGAAAGAATGCAGCTCTGGATGGGGTTGATGATAAGCAGGTCGTGTGAGTGATACGGAGAGGGCAGTCTCTCTCTGTTGTCACTATGGCTGGTCTCTGGCCTAGAATGAGGAGAACAAAGACAAATGAGAATGTAGGAGCTCAGGGCTGTCGTCTCTTTACAAGGTTGCTGCCTGTCCTTGTGTGATGCAGCTCCCTGGCACACCCGTTCCCAAGGGCACAGGATCCAGCCAGCCAGCTGGGCTAAGATTACAGCCCTCCCTCCAAAACAGGTGGTTTCTGTCTTTGTCCCAGGCACAGGCAGCTGCACCTCATTTTGTGCTCTCAAGTATACTCTTGATTTCTCCTTCATTGTCTTAGCCTCAGTGCTCTCTCCAAGCACAAAGACGGGTCACAAGCTCCTTGGGCATCTCTTGGTACTGACACTCCCTCTGACAGTAGAAAA